AGAGTCTAGAAGAGCGCGGCAAAGTCTCTGAACTTTGAGGAAACCGAATACTTTGGTGCCGTGTCCATCGTGTACAGTAGTCGGGTGACGGTTTTGCGCCTATGTGCCCTTTCATAGAACAACGGCGTCCATTGTCAGACTTTGATATGTGTGTGAAATGTGTGCTTTTTTTTTTTTTTTTTTTGGGCGCCGTATTCCCCCGCACAACAATCTGAGCCTCTCAAGTCAATGCTCAATTGTAACCCCCGGCCTTCGTTTTGAAGGAGCTCTTCGTTTGCATTCATGCCGTGATGGATAAAATAAGAGAGAAGAAATATTTCGACATAGCAGCACAATCTTCCGCCTCCGTGAGCGCTGCGACCGATGGTCTACGACGTGAAGGCCGGCGCCGGCTCCTGACCAAGACTGTGCACAGCAGACCAGCGAGGTGAAGGCCGGAGAAGCTGCCGAGCATGTCTGCTTTTGTCTATTGTTCTATCCCTTCCTTGTCCAGTGAGACGCCACGTTCCAACCGGCAACGCGTCTCCACCAGGCCGCGCCACTTCTTGTGCCCTTGCGCCTCTTGTTCCGTGCCAGGAGCTCCGAGGAATTCCTCCCGCTTCTATCACCAGCCCCCCTCGAGAGCCAAGCTCAGCGCACGCAGCTGCAGTTCGCCGCCGACAGCTTGGGCACGATCTGCCAGTTGTTGGTGACGTCCATGAAGGCCACGTTCTCGTAGCTGGTGGGCCGGCAGCACGGGTGGTTGCTGACCCGTCCGTGGGCGCTGTGAGCGATGCGCTTGTGCTTGAGCAGGGAGGTCAGGGTGACGTCGTAGTTGTTGCGGTGTTGCTGGCACGAGCCGCTGCAGTAGAAGAACGTGATCCATTCTTCGGAGTCGAAGCCCAGGCCCAAGTCCCGCACGCGCACCCTCAGGCTCTGGCGGCTGCAACCCTTCTCCCCGTCGCTGTTCTTGTCCTTCCCCCGGTTGCCAGACTTCTTGTTCTTTTTCGTCCTTGCTGAGGCTTCCGGGGAGCGCTCCAAGCGACGGACGCCCATCAGTTCGTCGTCATTGTGCCCTTCCAGGGTTGCATTTTCTAAAGAGAAATGTGGAGAGGTTTATTTATTATCATTCATAATTTCTATAATAAAAAA